AATAAATAAGAGCTGACGCACTTAGTTTGCTAATCTCAGTTTTGCAAGCAGAAAAACGCTAAATTCAACCGACCTACACTCGCTCTAAACTGGAAGGAATAACAATGTAAGAAAATTTTTTGATCCGAGTCTACCATTCAAAATAATGCACACGTCGACTCACAGCACATTTCAATAAAAAGCGTGACGAATGTGTAAAAAAATTCAATTGATTTTCTAATTTTATCTCCCTATGCAAACTAAATTTGAAAACTAGAGATGCGTCGCGCTTACACTGCTGCTTGAGATGCGTGTGAAACATGTGTAGGAAGTCATTAATTTCCTGTCCTGTTTCTTCCTCCATTTTTCAAAGCATCATAGTTTTCTTCATCATCGTTCTTGTGCTGTCGCTTTCACTTGTATCTTTTTGCGTAGTATTCGTATGCAGCAGTGCAGCTGTGCCTACTTTTTTGCGTAGGCGCAGAAAACAGTACGTTTCGCGCAAAACTACGTGCACTCTATGTTCTTGCTTTCAAAAGAACGTTTTCTATATTAGTTGCACAATTATTATCTAAGGCTTTACACTTTGTATTGTTTACGGATGCCATATTCTGACATAACTACGATCGAAAACCTTGGTGAGGAAGCTATAAAGCTTGGACAGAATACTGAAATCTTTGCAGTTCTTCATTTCCACGTGTATGTTGCTAGCTATTCATTGTTGGCCTATATTCCCCTGCTCCGAAACTTGAACAGTTCTATTCTCCTCGATTTTCGTGCTTCGATCAACATCACTGCGACGCGAAAACAAATATCTTCATGAACGGGGCTGCTTTCTGTATCGCCTAGGCTAAAGGAAAAAATACGCTTTGCATCTATCAAACTTTCATCAAAGTAAATCTTACCTGATAAGCCTGAAAATTCGCTGCAATTCTGCATTTTATCAAGCATTTCTGCAATTAGTTGATTCGTTTAAATGGGCGTCAATGACATGCTGACTCATCATACAGTAGGATCCCGCAAAATCCGTCTGACACCTAGGAACCCTTTTATGGAATATTACACTATTGACATACGCTACAATCAGTGGGTTTGTAACGCTTTTTTTGTAGAGGACAAGAAATACGGGTTCCCTGTTTTTTTATTGCAAGTTATTTTGCGCGAGGTCAACCTTAAACCCATTTCAGTTCCATGTAATTCCGTTCGACGAGAGTAATCCAAACATGCAGACGCAGGCACTTGGTGAGATGTATCAGTTACATTAAGATGGAGTATCAGCAGTATAGCTCAAAGTGAAATCCTTCAGAAAATGCTTCAGAATCAACATTTGGGCAACCATTGCCTCCAGCGGATCCCCAGCATATTCAAAGCAGTCATTATGGTCAAAATGCTCCCACAAACAGTGATGCAAGTAAGGCTTTCTGTTCTCTACTTGTTCAGATTTCTGAATCGTATCTGAGACTGAGAAATATACAATTACAAAACCAATATTTGCTGTGAACAGCACATGAACTCAGCAATTACCCGTACGCTTCTTTATACTTCTATCGCTTGTATGAGCTGTTTTTGTAGCCATCGATTTAAAAGATAATTTTCAGCTCGTTCAAGATCCCGATCCACCGATGGCACTGACAACACCGAAGCCAGCCACAGTAATCCACCGCTAAATGAGGTTAGCGTTAGAGATATATTGATGCGTGTACAAGAATCCCTCATTTTATTCTTACTATACGATTCACTGCTGTAGTTTTGGAACATACTACTACGGCACACTCCTATTTCTAAGCTATATCAACGCTTTGTGGAAGGATGTCAGGACTTGAAATTGTTTCAGTATTGCTTTGCCAGCGCGAGGTTTGGGTGAAGCTTTATTAACATTAGTGCCTAACGTTTCGACTACTCGTCGTCTTCAGAGGCTTCTGCTTCACCGCCGGTGCACTTGATGCTACGGTGCGACCGTATCCTTGATGACAGTAGTGCCAAATTTGGTACTACTGTCATCAAGGATACGGTCGCACCATAACATCAAGCATTTCGAAACGTTAGACCACTGATGTTAATAAAGCTTCACCCAAACCTCGGCTGGCAAAGCAATACTGACACAATATCAAGCATGACGAAGTTTCAACAAGAGAGGACAAAAGACTTACTGACCGATGTCAGGACTATCCAGCTCCTGCTGGCGATTTTCCTTACATGCGATTATGTTGTATGGAATATTATTCAGAGGCAGTGCCTGTGGCAAAACAACTGAGCATCTTCAATATCGCGTTGTTCCAAAAATACCCGTTTCTTGAAGTCTAATCAAATTGCCATGTCTTTCGAAGAGTAATCTTTGCGTAATAAACTGAGTTACAATCTACTAATTCAAACTTAACACATACTTCAAGTTTCTTCCAGGCAACAAGAAACATTAGCCGAAACTCGTCAAACCATTTCTTCAGAAACCCTTACTGATGTGATAAATCAACGAAATCGTAAGATAGCACAAACTTTGCTCATTATATAACCAATAATCGACCAAGCAGCAATTCACTGAAGAAATTCATAACAAGATTCTGCAATAAACGAAGGAACCCATTTAAATCGCTCTTTCCAAGATTGCGATGCATTTTTTGAATTTTTTTTTGAAATTTTAAGCCGCCGACATTCGACGGGTTTTCATGTTTTTTAAAGCTAAACTTCCTAGGTCCAGCCTAGCTGTACGAAGCGAAAGCTCCGTAGTAGCATTGTCTTAATGGTTTGATTTGTATATATCTCTGCCAGGGACATGTTTATGTTCATGTTTATGTTTTTTTTTGTTTCATGTTAGAAATTTTTAAGTTTTATTTTTTGAAAATCATATCTCGACAGCATATTACATATAGCATTAGTATACAGAAGAATTACACAGTTAAGAAAGTCTCGCCCATTACCTGTGAATTTTATGAAATAAACTAAAGAAAGACCACACTGTTTGCTTCCTTCTAGGACAGTAAAAAAGAACTCCACGAAGAGATCATAATTAGAGATAACTAACCTGAAAGAATTTTGCGAGTAATATGAGTAATGCTAAGCGAGAACGTTTTTACCTAAAACTAGCAGTTCGATGAGAGGTATGAAAAACGGTAGAACTTGAGGAAAAACTCTAATACTACCATTGGAGTGAGTTTGGCAGATAAATTTCAACCTCTCAAATGCGACGCTTGTTTGATGCTCATATATCACGACTTTTTACCTGGTTCGCGGTCCGTCAGAACCATCAAATGTAAAGGATGGAGCCCAGAAAACAATTTAGAAATTGCTTTAGAGCAGGGTGACCACACATAACGATGGTGATGCTGAGTAGGCATTATGCGGAACTGTTTGCTGGAAGTTTGCGGGTCAGAGGATATCTGACCCTAGATTGGTTGTTTTCAAGTAAAGATTGGCATATAGAGCGTCCCAAAAAAATGTTAACACTGTTTGATCGTTAATAACTCCGTTGCTTTCACGTTTTTAGCCGAGCTTGAGGGATCATTCTGTAGAGCGAGATTTGACTTAGCTTTGTAGTATGGAGCGAATCATCGACCGCTCTTCCTTACTGTAGGATTACGGTATGAAGTTCTAGCATGTGGATCCATTGTGAAATATGCCATAAAAATTTTTTTCAAAAAATCTGAACAGTCGTGTAATGGGGTTTCCGTGCACGCTGATTCCCCTACATAACTTTTCACAAGTGTTTAGTTTTTTTGACGGTGTAATCACATTTCTGACAAATACTGGGAATTCAGTTATTACGGTTTACCTGGGATAACTTTGGAAAAAAGCATCAGGTTTCATATTCGAATTCAACGGCTTTCATTACCATAGTATAAGAATTTTTGGCTTGTTTGGTTTTGTCCAATGGCTTAAAATCCTTGTCGAAGTTCCTACCGTAATCCTATAGTAACGAAGTGAACGATTATTCGCTCCATACTGTTGATCTAACTTGAACCTCGCTCTAATGAATGGTGCCTCAAGCTTGGCGAAAGAAAGAAAGCAAGGGAGTTATTAACAATCAAACAGTGTTAACATTTTTTTGGGACACCCCGTATTTAGTTAGACAAAGCAGATATAAGTTTTTATTACTTTTGCAAAAAAACAAGGTAATTTTTTATGTGGATCCATTTTTGTAGAGAGGTATTTTTCTTTATACCGTCAAAATCTAGTCAAAAAACGTTGACCCGCTACTAGTTTGAGAAGAAAATTGTTTCTTTTTCTACATGTTCAATAATTCATCGAAAGTAATTTCTCATCTGCCTGTCTGGTGAGGTGAAAATTTATTCAAAGGCAGCGTCATTCAAATTTTTGGCTTTCACGTTTTGTCATTGTTGTTCTTTATGGGCCTCATTTCTGATTTGAGGCACAAATCATGAAAAAACTCGGAAAGTTTCACTACTGAAACTCTGTCTTTGCAAGCGTGGACGGCTGCTCTGGCAATAGTTCAGCCTTACGCAACAGCGACGCAGTACACAGTTTGCATCTTGACGTTAAGACGCGTCAGAAAGTAAATTTTAATTGCTCAGGGCATGTGGAAATCTGGGGCCATGATATGACACGCTGATTGCTGGTCCACTTTTTCACTCTAGAGGTATTGGTAGAGGACGGAACACAAAGATGCTTCTGAGAACTGATTATAGACTAAATAGCATACATTTTGGATGGACTGACTGTTTCACTACAGAACTGCTCTAGTTACTGAATAAAGCGTTATCACTCGTCTTTCTAACGCGGCTGGCTGGTGTTTGAAGGTAGAGGGATGTTTATGAATGGTCGCATGTAGGGAACGACACTTGGTGACAACAACGCCAGTGGTGTTTATGTTTCCGTGATCTCTTTGAAATTGTCCACAAAAGCATAGGAGCAGCAAAGATGTTTTTGTAACACTAATAATCAAACTCGTGGGTTGGGTTATTTGTGACAGATGACACTGAGGTTAGGGTATGTCGTCATAACTCTCCTGGAAGAAATGAGTCCGAGTAACGAAAATATCCACAACAACATATCACATCAAGCACAGGCCGAAGCTGCTTTGTGGTATTTGGATTGGTCGTAGCTTTTGATTTGAGTCATTGTGTCCCACCGGTATGATATTTTTGAGTGTATGCATTCATTGCTTAAGAAGAAAGAGGAATGCAGCTTGCTTTTGCACTCTTTAAATAAGGGAAAGGAAATCATGGGGAAATGCAAGTGATCAGAGCGCAGTGACTTTTTGTCTGAAATCAACGCAGTACTGCGTGGTTAGTGCAAAGGTCCGTTTCACGGATCGGTTAGGTTGAAATCTGAAGGTCTGTTCACAGAGCAAGCACAACAGACTCAAAGTGATTATCACAAATCGAACTCCTCGAAAATATATCTAGTGTAGAATTTTAACGCTTACAATTATCAAGATATTAGCGAAATGGCTGCAGCCGATTTCTGGCTTGAAACAACTTTTTTAGAGATTTAGAGAACTGATCAACGACTAGATGGGTGAATACTCTGGTATGAGCTTATGGAAAGAATACTTGGTGACCGTGGGTTTTTGCAATGGGGTGTACACTAGTAGATGCGCCTTGAAACGCTGATTTCAAATCTGTGTTCTTTATCTGCTGTGCGACTCTTTGAATGAAGCTATGGACTTTTTTCCATATTATTTTTAAGAGATAAAGGCAGTCAGAATCTCAGTATTTAGGATTTTTAGACTATGATGTATCGGAGACAGTTTTTCTGAGCTTAATGTGAAGCTTCAGTTTATTTGGGCGCTTTTTGTAGTGCGTAATGAACATTCCAACGATGCTGGTGATTTTTGTCATCAAAACAGTGCAAAATTAGGTGACAAGAAATGTTCATAACTTCTTTCGGAAGAGCGCACAGCAGATAGCGAAAGCGGATTTGGAATCAGCGCCTCAAGTTGCATTTAATTAATGGTATACCTTCCACTTCAGAAGGCCACGGCCACCAAGTATCCTTCCCTTGTTAGAAAAGAGATAGTCTGGCTCACTTTATTCACTAAAATTTCCAGATTGGACGGTACAATGTGCATGGAGGACTACAATACCCTCATAACTCGTCAAATAAGTAGCGGAACTCCACCGAAGTTCATCGAAATCACGTCGCATCCACAGCTTGCCTCAGAGAGGATGAGTTCTGAATCCAGGAGCACCTCTAGACTTAGCTCGGCTTATCATCTGATACATAGAAGTGCCTGTTGGAATAGTAGGCGGCTGGAATTTACAAATTTTTAGATATTTGCTTACAATAGGCTACTCACTATGCTTATTTCATTGCACAGTGAGTAGCCTATCATAGGCAAAAGCCTAAAGATCCATGAACCATTTTGCTACCGCGAGCCTACCTTATCCATACGGGCATTCTCTGTCCAAACGAGCACTCCACGAACAGAAAATGCGTCGTCGGGCTAAATTGAACGGTGCTCGTGGATTCAGAATCCATCCACTCTGGATCTTAATATGGGATGCGAGGCGGACGATTTCGGTGAACTCAGGTGAAGTCGTTGATTTTTTTAGAAATTATGAGCGGTATGGTGTTTGAAACCACCTTGCCGCTCACCTCGCTCCTGCTCAAATGCTACAGTATATTGCAATTTAGCAAATGAACATTTAATTCCGTTTATTTCTCCCAAATATGATCAAAGCTGCTCTAAAAAATAAAGCATAAAACTCTTGCCTCTAGTCTATGTAAATTTTAAATGATTCTGACGGTTGTAACCTTCAACTTTTCATTCTTACATTTTTGGTTCATTCCTAGACGAAACAGTTCGCATATAAAGAAAAGAAATACGTAACTTTTGACGCTTGAAATAAACCATCTAAACATCATGAGTGAAATATGGCGGTTTTTGTTGATTGCACTAGTAAGCATATAGCGAAATTGCATGAAGGCGAGAAAACTTGAATGGCATTAGCGGGAAATGCACTCAAAAAATGTGCGGAATGCTCAAGTTTTGCACATTTGAAATCGATCTTAGAAGAACCAACCGCTTGACCGTACAGTGACTGAACCTATGCTTAACAAAACTCCTTTGACATAATGTTTCTAAATGCCTCAACTTGGAGTATAGTAAAGATATGATAGTGGAAAGCGCCAGTGCGCTGCTTAATAGTGTAGGAGTAGGACTAGTAACTTTGTATGAGAACAGAAGAGAAGAAAGCGCTGTGGAAGAAAACTCCGAAACGAATTTTGGATGAAACGTCTAGCTGCGATGATTTGTCCCGTGCATGCGGACTGGAATGGCAGATTTGAAATTGTAGTATGTGAAAAAAAATCGAAAAAATGCCGTCATTCTGCTGAAGTAGTTCAATCACTTTTTTAAATTGCTAATGGAGAACCTGCCAAAGGCAATTTTTCAAATTCTAACCTACTTTATTTGGATTGTATTTGCACTTGATCTATTTGCTTCTATATAAGTTTTCATTGAGAGCACTACAGAGTCAAATCTTCTTAAGTCTGTACTGTAATAAAATTGAGCTGTCTTTCTGAGGAGTGAGCCCTCAAAAAAAGTTGGTTCAAGCTTGTCCGCAGCTTATTATTATTGTAAAATTAGTTCGCAACATCATATCTTTTTGTAAAAAATCTTCAGTTTCCTACTCGTACTGATTTCTCGCTTTTTGCAGCCGTCGGTGCCCATTTCTCAGCCGGTCCAAAATCTTGGAATGGCGTTGCAGCATGCCACATTGGACACTCAGTCATTCACAAACTTCAATAATCCAGGTTCGTTCGTATTATTGACCAAGGTCATTGTTCATGTTGAAATGTCTGAAAGTTGATTCAAGCATCCTAAGGGAAGGAATGATAGAGACGGAGAAAAATTTTTCCGCATTATCTGATTTATTCTTTATACGAATGGGGCTGATCGGATCAACCCTAGTGACTCAAAGCGAGCTCTTTATTCGCTTACTTTCCGTTTTCATAGTTGGGCGCTTACGTGTAGAATTTGCTAGAACTCAAATGTCGGGTTCTCGAGAATCGTTCCACATATCGTATTCGAAAATTTCGTATATAGAACCGTTCTTCGTTTATCTGGATATCTAATCCCTACGATTTTTCAGAAGCTAAATTACACAACATGCAGCAACAAACTCTGTCTTGCTCCGAAAAAAATCAGCAACCGGAATAGTGCACCGTTCAGGGCAAAACTTGCCCTACAATTTATCCTCTAAACAGTACATATTCGTAACTTACTTTAAAAGTGAGGTCAGAGTTGCGATTCAAGCCAGTTAGGATCTCTGCGAGCGTATAAGTTTAGTCATCACCTTCTCGTACATGCGCAATGTGACCAAGGAATGGCACATTTTTAGCCTGGAAATCCGTAGGAGAATTTGCAAATCTCATTCGAAGGCATTGCCCAGGCTGTTTGTCATCCCTTAGCGACCACAACCCTATCAGTGAGCGTAACTATGATTCCGCCTATCCAGCGATCCAACCTTCAAGTGTTTTGACGTGACAAGCGCGATCGATACGCATACCGTTTACTTATGTTCCTGGCTTCTGGCAAGAGCACAGGTAAGGTGCGCACTTTCGAAAAGAGACCCGGAAAGTTTGCGGGCCTTTATGCTTTTTAGATTCCGTATCTTATATCAGCGTGGAAAGGTATGAAGTAAAAGAAGCATGATACTTGAAAGTCAGTATGGAGATGCCTTTGAGGATGGACTTCTATCGTTATCAATTTATTCCTATGGTCGGTGACTGAGTCCTCCTTCCGCAGAAAATGTGTAAGGGAACATTGTTGAAATGGCGATATTGAGAGTCTGATACTGTAAAACTCTCAAATCACTTATCACACCTTTTCGTTTACGACACATTCTGGTCTCAATTTCGAAAAAAACATTTTATGTAAATTTTCAAAAATTAACGTTATAATAGCGATAAAACGTACTAGTGATGAGCTAGATGCAAGCTGGCGCGAGATTTTCCAGTATTGATAGTACTGTAGCGCGCACTGTATGGGCCGTCCGCGCTGCGCGCGGAGAGCAACGCTGTTGCTTCCGTCGAGGATAGAAGAAGCGCAGAGAAAACAGGCGGCTAGAGTGCACGGGGAAAGAGGAGTGACGCGCAATACACACCTTGCGCACTCTCCGCGCCCTGCGCGGACGGCCTATACTTCATACGCAGAATAAAGCAACCATAAAACCCGATGGTGGTGATTGTTGACAAACTCGCGTCATAATCGCACTTTGTTTGCACCTCTCATTTGTCGAGTTGTCTTCAGATTGATTTAGTAAGATTGCGGTGTAAACCATTTGTTCAAATCTATGCTTTGTTTTGAGTGCAGCAATAGGAAACTTGACCTTACTTACTTACGTAGATACTTAGATGGCCCGTCTTCATGTGACGTGCGGGCCCCAGCACAAAAGTTGCCATTTGTCCCTGTCCCTCGCTTCAGATATCCACGATCTTTTTGGTTGCCGTCGGTGGCTGCGTCCACGAGTTCCAGATGCAATAATCGTATCCAGCTGATTTCTCAGCTGGTCCATCCGTTCCACGAACACGTCTGCCTATCTCGTTGGTGGTCTTCCTTGGGGATGTTTGGCTTGGCTTCGCGAGGAATCCACTCAGATGTTCTTAGTGTCCATCGTCGTCTGTTCTTCTCATAATGTGACCGACCCATCGGTGCTTCGCTTTCGCAACGTATTCCGCTGGGTCAAGACGGGACATTCTTCTCATATCCGTACTGCGAAGTCCGACAGGATGTTGTTTGCTGTTGTTGTTTGTTGTTCGGGCCATCTTCAGAAGACTGCGCTCGAGCGCTCTGTGGGTGGTCCGTAAGGCTTTCGACGTGGCTACTGTGCCAGCCCAAGTCTCAGCTGCGTAACGGAGCGCCGAGAGAATGGTTGAGTCGAACAGGTGGGCACGAAGCTCCTTGTCCGTCAGTTGGTCGGTGGCTTCCTTCAGAGGCCCGAAGGCGGCCCAGGCTGCTCTTCTTCTCCTGTTAAGTTCTTCCCTCAATTCGTTCTCCATGTTCATCAAACGTCCGAGATACACGTAAGAAGACGTCTCCATAATAGGGGTGCCTTCTAGTTCCATTTCTGCATCTTCGCAAAGGGCGTTCTTCATGAACTGAGTTCTTCCGATTTATTCGCAATCCGATCTTCTTCCCTACTTCGTTTAGTTCCTTCAGCATCGTCTCTGCTTCGGTGATACTGCTCGAGAAGAGAACGATGTCATCCGCAAAACGAAGGTTAGACAGGAATCTCCCATCAACTCGTATGCCTCTCTCGTCCCAGTCCAGTGACTTCGTCACCCACTGCAAGGCCGCAGTGAACAGCTTCGGCGAAATAGTATCACCTTGTCGAACCCCCTTTCCGATTGGAATGGTCAGGGGGCGATGGAACAGCTGCATCGTTGTTGTACAGTCCTTGTAGCAGTTGGCTAGTGTCCTCACGTACGCTGGGTCCACTCCTTGATCGACTAGCGCTGACAGAATGGCGTTGGTTTCGACGCTGTCGAAGGCTTTCTCGTAGTCGACGAAGGTTAAGACGAGAGGCTCGGTACTCCCGGCAGACTTCTATGACTCTCGAAACCGTCTGGATGTGGTCCATGCAGCTGAATCCCTTGCGGAATCCAGCTTGTTCTTGGGGTTGGGCTTCATCCAGTGTCCTAGATATGCGAGCGAGGATAATCTTCGTGAAAAGCTTGAAAAACTTGACCAAAGCAAGTAAATAATTATTTTTAATCCTAGTAATCATATTGGTAACTTGCTGACTTACACGGCTCCGCCCGGCCCTGTCAAAACACTATGATAAAGCTCCCATCCCTATCCTGCAGTCTTTCCCTGTGCCCACTTCTACATACCAACTCCAACTTCCTATTCCCTTTGTGTTAACTATCAGCATGCTCACTTATCCCAGTGCAAATTCCCGGCCCCGCAACTCAAAATTTACAAAAAAAAATCGATAAAACTATTGGACAATTTTGAGAACTAATTTTGTATTCGTAATCAGCATGCTCAATTACTCCTGTGCCAACTCCCAGCCCCGTAGCTCAAAGTTTGCAAAAGAATCGATAAAAATCGATAAAATCGATATCGATCGATAATGAAAAGTAGCCTACGACACCCGCTCCGCCACGAAGTGAATGTGTGCCAAGTTCGGTCCGAATCGGTTCAGAAATAAAAATTTCTATTCGGAACATACATATTTACATACAGACAAAAAGACAAACAGACATTCAGATTTATATATAAGGTCTTAATAAGGCATCAGGGACGACTTCAAAAATTCTCATGCCGACTACTCGAAGGAGACCAAATAACGGATGGATAGAACAAACTCTGTAGGATACAAAACACTTTTCTTCTACTTTCCGTTGTTGTTGCTTTTTGTTTGATTTGGTTTTTTGTCAGAATCTTGTTTGATACATTAATCCATTGGTCAACTCAAACCTTAAAAAACATTAATCAGCGAGCAATTCAAATGTCATTTGAGTTCTTTTTTCTTTCTAGCGATGTTTTTTGTTTCCGATTTATGGAACCTTCGGCGATAAAAATATCATGATTCATGTTCTTCAAGGCGCCTCAGACTGCACCCGAATCATTCAAAGTATGATATTCTGAGCCCGTGAACGTTCATTTACTTTGTAAAGTTTTAAGTTATAATCCATATTTGAAAGTTTCAAATTCTAAAGTATCAAAGTTCTTATTAATGTGAGACAGTCCTGCCAAAATCCAGTAGTTTCAACAATTCCACCAAAAAATTATGGCGAGATATGGAAAGGAAAAATAAATAGATATGTACGTAGGGTTTGCTTTATCTATCTTACCTGGACTTCTTCATGGCGTCGGCATAGGAATTCAGAACAAGTGAAATTTAAACACGAAGAAACCATATAGTTTTCAGTAATTTTCAAAAAGCTCGTTGATTGCACTGCATTGTTACCATAACCAGCTGAGAGAGGATGAAAAATTATATTGAACTTGCCAAAAACTTTTAAGGGTCTTTGATATGTGAGATGTGGCGTTCATTTGAATAAGAGAAATCATCGGAAGTTTGGAACAACCTAATATGTTGCTTTCGGTTTTTTACTGTACAAGATTGTCGTTTGGATAAAACGGACAGAACTTCCGTTTGATATTAGGTTTTCCGGAAAAAAACATCGTCTTTTCTGCTAACATTTGGCATCCTGGCTGGGTGAGCATAAATTGAATGAAGTACAGTTCGGTAAAGCAAAGCAAGCTCTACAAGGTGCAAATATTTGCGCCGAGTTTGAATTACTATTAATTCCAAAAAATCTATATGCCTAAAAAATCGAAGAAATTGTTAACCGCATTAGCTGATTGATAAACCATATGTCAATAACTCTTTATTCACAGGTCAACGTCGGCAAGATCGCCTCGTGTTTGGCACGTTTCCATGCCTAAAAAGTAGTACAACAAAATTTGACATTTTTATCAAAGCAATCCTAAGTATCTCTTAGCGTAAATATTTTGAAATTACAACTATGTGTTTTCAGGTTCAAAACAAGTATAAGTTTCCCAAATAGTACCGAAACCAGTAAAACACGGCATTTATAATTTTTGACCTATTTTTGTTTGTTCTGCACATTATTTATTAGAAAAATCAGCACTGTACATGACTATTTTGTTGTGTAGAGTGCATGCGTGAACAAATCAAAGGTTGCTAAAAATTCCATAGACGGGGAATCATTTTCTTGGGTGCGAGTCTTTTTTACAGCGCATATCAGATTTTGTGTGGATATTCGGAAGTTCTGTGGTATAAAATGGTACGCCATTCATTTTTCGTAGTCAACGTGTTGCATATATGATACGACATTTTTGCATTTTTTTATTTTCTCAAACCTCATTCAGTCAACTGGTCATTTGAGATAGTATGTTACTTGAGCATTGTTAGATTGAGGAAAAAATGCAGTTGACGTTCACATCTTTACCCCTAAAGCAAAATTCGAAAATTTGTTTGCAAGTTGCCATTTGCAGTTTTATGATAATTGCATGGATGCAATCACGAGGTCAGTCAAAAAAGTTTGCGATATCGCTTTTCATCGTGAGAGCCGCGCTTAAATTATGTTTGCACGTTCCATCGAAGCAGAGTACAGGAGATTTCCTCTCTAGAGTCACCGTTTATGCTGCAGAAGATCGAGAGCATGAGCAGTTGAAGAAAAAAAAATGAACTATGCACGATATATACAAATATCTTGCAAATGCGGTGAGAAAAATCATTTGCTATGGTCACATGGAAGTTGATGAATGCGTTTCTAGATATCAGTGAAACAATGTAGCATTGTAGTTAATGGAGTATGAGCACCTTTCTGCAGGAATATTAACGCAAAAAGCAGGCTTTAGAATGGGAAGTAAAGACTTCTCATAAAGTCATTAACATGTGTAACTTACTCCCTCTGCCGTTTTACTCAGTGAACGTTTGGGAAGACAAAGCGAATTTCACTAAACTTACGCCTAAGAAAAATTCGCAATTTTGCGAGTGGTAACTCTTCTATTGATTTTCAAGCATCTGTGCGACTGAAAACTACCATATTTTGTCATTCATTTAAAAACGAACGAATGTGTTTATGCCTGCCAATTTAAACACATCGTGCCTTACGACAGAAAAGAATGCCGTTTAGATTTGTCATTCTTTGTTTCTAATTTTCTTATTTTATCTGAATGGTTTCATTTGTGTAGTATTGCTTTATTCGAGTTCCTTGAACGGAAATCTCAAACGTGCTGTCATTACAAGATTTCTGGTCTCTGCTGGTATGACAGCTTGTAAAACCACCAGTAAAGATTTGAACTTCTCAAGCTTTGACAACGGTACGGTAATTCGAATTCGGTTGCTTCGAAGTTGGTTGAGGCTAATTCCACAGTGTGATTCTAATCTGAAGTCGAAGATTCGAGAAAATTTTCATGTACGGGATGTCTCAAGAGATGTGCACACTGTTTGATAGTTAGTGACTCCCTTGCTCGTCTTGCGCAGTGTATCAGGTACCATTCTGTATACAGATGTTCTTTTCTGGACCGCCAAACTTTGCATACAATTCGGGGTGGGTGTCGTAGGCTGCTTTTCTTATCGATCGACATCGATTTCATCGATTTTTTGCAAAGTTTGAGCAACGGGGTGGAAGTTGGCAGGGGTTGAGCATGCTGATTACGAATAATATTGAGATGGCAGGGCGGAGCCGGGTTTGCCAGCTAGTAACTCATAAGAAGCTCGAAGTATTAGGTTGAAGAAAGTTCTGTCGCACCATTTTCAAAAACTCATAACTTCTGATTTTTCCAGCCGATGACTGCTCTGATTTTTGTGTGAAAGAGATGAAAAGTTACGATTTTCGAGCAAGCAATACAAAAGGGCGAATTTGATTTATTTTGGTATTTTCCAGGAAAATCGTAACTTTTCAAAGAGACGCTCAATCGGCGCCTTTTTTGCACTGTTAGAAAGAGCTAGTGCAAGAAGCCACAATACTGACTGTTTCGATTTTTGTTCCAGTTTCCGATTTTTTATGACACTACACAGAAAGTGAATTTTGAGTAATTTTTTTCTACCGCTCCTATCTATGCAACAAATGACCATTAGTAAGCAGCTAAGATGTCATTATGAAGAGCACGACTTACTCTTTCATACAAAAATAAAAGCAATCAAATCAGTCGTAAAAGTCAGAAGTTATGAATTTTTGAAAAAAAATTTTTTGGTGCGACAAAACTTTCGTTTCAACCTAATACATTGTTCATATTCAAAGTCAGTGAATCTGACTAGCCAATGTAAGTGCTTTTAGCATGTCTGGTTTCTTTTCGGAGGCAAAATGTAGCCTTTAACTGCTAAAATCCTTTTTTCAAAGCCCCCACCTTTGCTTTACCGCATCAAAGCTTGCTGGTGATTGGCGCCATATTGTAAACCCAAGTTGAAGACAGCTTTAAAGTGGTACCTGAAGATTGTCAAGAGGGAAGCTAGTTCTATAAAAATAGTACTTAAAGACTTGCGTAAAGGTAGTGTATCGAAGCGACAGAGTTATGAACAATCGAACAGCATCTTTCCGGGACACCCCGCGTATTTGGTATATTACATAGCATTGTAAGCTGCGAACGAAGTGTGCAATACGAGGAAGTTCCACAATGAACTGACGTTTGATAGGGACTTCTGGCACAGTTTTGAATCAATGGCTGGATATTGACTGCGTTGACTAGAGCTATCTGATAAGGTAGAACAAGGTCTTCTTTTTCTAAGAATAAGAAATAACAATCCTAACTCTGCATCTGCACATTTTGCTAGTCTTCTCAAGGCATAGCTAAAGCAGGCCATTGTTGCTTTCTCCCACTGCTCGAATTTCCCAACGACATGGGTGCTTAAAATTGCTTTCTGAAAACCTTCATTGACATGTAACATTTCTCCTGCGCGCATTGGGCAATGTATCAGAATTTTGGCTTTAGTAGGAGCGAAAATGTTTTTCGATTTTTTGCCTTTCTTGTGAACTTGTTCGCTTCCATACTATGGAAGCTTGTGTCTGTTCATTGGAGGCTTACTCAGGCATTGCAACGCTGCAACTTTTTGTTGATTTACTTATTTGACTGAATTATGTCCTGCAATGGTATTGCTCTTTGAGCCGAATGCTTGTACAGAAATGTTGAATCCTGCCCAATAGTGTCTTGCTGTTTGGGACGAAATAGATTTTGGAGATCAACTCAGACAACTCTTTTCAAAAAATCAGTTCAAATGCTTAGCAAGCTGCCTTCAATCTAATGTTTTTCTTGTGATCGTAAGTTGCGGTGCCTTACTATTTGTTAAGGCCAGTCATTTTCACTCACAAAAAAACACAAGGCATAAAAAATTTATCTGTTTTTTTCAGATCTCTTCTCGTTCCAGCCAAATTCGCTACTCCAGTACCCAATGCTCTCATCTTTTGGAAGAAATCCACAAATGAATGCTGTAGGTTTTGATAAATCCAGATTTCTTGTTTCTTTCTGCTTTACCTTATAAGATTTGATATGGTCTAGATTGATTTCTTAAGGCGAATTGATGTCAGTCTTATGGAACTTTTCTATGGGTTTTTCACTCTATGTCTTGCATGGAAGTGTCAAACTCTGCTGATTCATTTCATCGAATTTCCATAACTCTTACTGTTGAGCCAATTCTAACCACCTGCCAAATAAATTGCTCATATTACGGGTAGCCTAGACTGCGCGGTGTTTACATAGTCGTAGCAGAAAATATTCTTGGCAGGTTAAACGAAAAATGAAGATAGTGTTTACTCGAATCTTACTTTCCAACGTGGTTTGAACCTCAACTTTAAAAGGCAGGTGAAAGTTGCCAGTGAACATTTTTCCCTAATTCAGCATAAGATGACCTTTCTGGAGCTCGATGTAGCATGCCTACCTCAATTAGAAGCTTTGCCAATACTTCGCAATGTTCTCCTTGTTGTGCAAAAGGTGCGCAACACCATCGTTTACAAAAATAGCAGCAAAAGTGAAATCAAAGTTAGAGATATCTTGGCGTGTGCATTGATGACGTGAAGCTAGGTGGCATTCATGAATATTCACACTCACAATTTCCGTACTCTGCTGTAGCCACCTTTGCCAATTTTGCGTGGAGTCAACCTAAGGTCGGTAAGATAGCTGAGTAGCAGTCGCGGTCCAGTTCTTTTCGAAAGGGGAGGGGGGGGGGTGCTATATAATTCTTTTCAGAAAGGGTGTGACGTTAGTACGCCCTCCGGAAACATTTTTGGAATATCTTTCCGAAATTCTTGCTTGCGGATGGATTTTTGAAAATTCAAAAAATTTTGATTCGTCAAAAGAACAGGTCATTCGCGCCATTTTATAATTCGTGTAGCCTACTCTGAAAAGCCTTGACAAGCGTTCCCGGTAGGGGAGCCTTTTTGTATAGTTTTTATCATGTGTTTGAACAGCGCTAGAACTTTCGCAAAGGTCTACGGCTGTTGATGAACTTGTTTAACAGTAGATACTACTGTAGCTTTGCTACTATTGAAAATGGTTCATCGATCAAGAAAGGCTGCTCATATTAACACGTTTCGGACCGGTGCTGCACATGGTACAGCACGCTGCTTTGAAAGATCTTTTTGACGTCTTTAGGAGGTTTTCTTTTACTCCAAGGTTATCAAGCCGAAGGCTAATCTCCTACTTTTCAAGTGACTCTGTAGAGTTGTGCCCCCGGTATTTATTTAGGAGATATGAGGACAAATCGAACAACAGTTGCAACAAAGTGCGGCAACGCGAACGACGCGTTCGACGTCGCAACTTTCCTTTGCTTTGATATCAAAGAGAAAAACCGTAGTTTCAGTACTGATGTATAGCGTTTCCAACATAGATACTTTGGAATATATTACAAACTAAGTTCTTGTTCCTATTTTTCAGGAAAGCACAAAAGTCCTTCTCAAGCGACAAAATTCCACTTCGAATTCACTTAGAACTTTGGGTATGGAACTTAGCTGACAAGCTGATTACAGATGTAGCACACAGTCCACGGAATGCGGTCCCTTTGTTGGCTTATGGCTGAAAGCACTCTTTTTCGTCGCGCGCGATTTCACGGTCCAAAACGTGTTAACGATGGCGATGTGAGGTCTCGTCACGCTTACATTATACTCACATTAAAGGCAGTGTCCCGGCAGATTTTGCATTTCCTTCTTTTTGCATGTTTTGGGCCTTTTCGACCCGTAGATCCCGAATTTGAGCTTTGAAACGGTCGAGAAGACTTTTTTCGGGGCGTTTATCCAATTTCCAAAAGGCAGCTCGGACGAGAATTTCAATGGAAAATTGGGAGGCACCGGCACGAAGACCCTGCCGCCTGTAATTTTTGCTTTAAATAGTATGTACACATAAATAGTAATGCGGAGAGCGGTAGTGGGGTCCCGCGCCGAACAGGTAAGAGAAGTCGTCCGGCAGCGCGCCGATTGGGGTTGCGCGCGCCGGTTCGAGGGCCATTTTCTCGGCGTGGAACATCAACCAGCCGGACTGGGCCTGGGGGTGAGGTGACCAGGAACCACAACGCAGCTATATCCCCTAAGGTGCGAATCTGCCTGGACACTGCCTTCAAGTGGCATGGCATGGCACGTAGAAATGGTTGTTTTTTTTTCTCCCAAATCCCCAGCTGAAAAATTATTTTTAATCGCTTTGCTCCTAGCGTCGTTCGAAGATCTCAGCCATGTAGTTTTTTCGTTACCACTTTTTTCTTCGTTTTTCTCCGAAGTGAAAGTGCAGACCTCTTTCGCACTTTCCCAGTTTTTTTCTTTTTATGTTTAGCTTGTTCGAAAAAAAACGCTCTCGAGCAAACCTTTAGCCTTTAAAGCAGAACTCAGCAGAGTTTATTTTTGGTGATATTGATGATAATCTCAGAAATATTACGCATTGAATTACTCAACAAACAAACTTTTTATTGTCGAAAACCGCGAAAATTCATAACTTTAGCATTGCTTGGCACTACTATATGCAACCAGCAGTCAGTCCCTCGTCCCTCACGAGGGAACGAGGAACGCTTCGAACGGAGCAAAGCGCACACATTTTCGTTCGTTATCTGAGAACTGCACGTGGCCAAGGCGAGTGCCGGCTCCAAAAAAAAATCCACTGGTCAGCTGAGCATGCACGCGTCACGAGCAACTATACGATTTGCACTTTTGGTGCCTGGAGCACTCGTTGCACTATTAGTGTTTTTTGGATGCAGCGAATAGAAAATAAGGATGAAATGCTTTTTTGAAAGCGCAACAAAGGTGAGTCTGGATCAAAAATCGTGTGGCATGTTCAGCTTGGAAGGAAGTAAGAGAAGAATTTTTGCATTTCTTACACTGCCCCTATGAATTTCGATCTTTTCTTGAAGATGTAATCTCCTACAAAGTAGTTTTCTAAACAGTTAATATAGTTTTATTTTTTTCAGTTCTCATGAGTTTGTAACCCTATTGATTATGGTCAGCCAAAACAGTTATAGTCTTGAGGTTTTTTTTCTGACAACACTTGTTTTTCTGATAGAAATTGTCGGTCTGGCTACGAGTGGCGCAGTGATAAAGGGCGGACTGAAGTTTGATGCCGCCTCGCGCCAATGAAGCCTTCTACCCTATGGGGCGGTAAATTAGTACAAGGGAGAATAGAAGAAGCGCTGAATTGGTAATCCGCAGGCCTCCCGAAGTCACTGTAAAAGGCTTACACGCATTCAGCTGCGTCTCCAACTAAGTAGAATGCGTTTGGAGCATGCTCCTGTGTGACAACTCTGAATCCTTCATTGTTTATTTATCGTCGTTCTTCAAGTAGTTGGGGGTGGGGTATTTTATCGTTCCTCGAATGTTGATTTTGGTTCCAGTCGGTTACGGAGTGCCATCCTTCAGCAACATACAGCTTCGTTTTGGAGTATACAATATATTTTGTTAAGCCAGTCTACTGCAGCCATCTTCATCGATCGCTGAATCTTTAGCGAACGCTCGGATGCTCTCAGACCAGAACGTCGGCACGAAATATAGGTTATGTGGTGCTGCTCTGGCCACGCCTCTGTTTCCGAGGCCGAGGAGATCGTTTTTTGGATTGGCTACGTCGCGGCGTCGCTATAGATCTGCTCATTGGCTGTTCTGGCTCCTCGATTCGGCCAGTTTGTGCGGAGTCCACCTGCTTTACCCGGCTGAATGGCGCTTTCGGTTGTTACGCCTTACGAGGGCACAAACCCGGTGTGTTATCTACAGGTTATCATTTTTGTATGTTATATTGTAAACTGATCCCGTTCGCTGAAGCGGCCAGTCGCCATCGCAGCGCAGCGATCGCGCGGCGCTGCGCGTAGATTCAAGTTTAATTCGGACATTCGAACGTGTCCGCGAACGCGATTTTTGCACTTTTTCGACTGACCGAATGGCCTGTTCGGCTATTACCCGCAGACACACTCACACATAAGAGGGGCGGACTAACCCATTTTTTCTGCAAACGCAGGCGTTCGCCCTCGATTTTTTTCTCCACGACGGTACCTAAAATCACCGTTCTTTGTCCAAGCCGTACAACGCGAATGTCGGTTTTTTTTCGCTTTGTCGTCACTGGCGTGTAATTTGTCACCGAGCCATCGGTTTGAAAGTGGAAATTTAGCGAAAGTCGACCTGGCAGTAGTGAGGGTTGAACATGATCATGCCTTCATCTGAGAATCGCTAAGCATCCTTCTCTTTCTCCGAGATTGACTGACTTGTGATCACGGTGAACAGGTAGAAATAAGTATTCTTTCCTAAGTCTTGAACTTTTAGGAGTAATGCTCCCAAAGCTTGTGATTTATGTTCTTGAGATGAGGTCAAAAGCTTCTTCTTGTTTCAAAGTGAGAGGGAGTCTTCTTGGTGAATCTTCACTTGTTTGTATAGGGCGCTGTTTTTATTTCTTCCCTGGCACATACAATTGTGCAGTCAGGTTAGGTTTCAAGATGGGCTTAAAAAATGAAGCATGTCACATCCCCTACATGTCATCACGGAAAAATTGCTGTATTAGGAGCGCTAGCTTTTCTGCATATGATCACATCAACTGTCGCCAAGAGTTTATCCTTGGATAGATCAGAGGAAAATAGGCTTGTTATGCTGGTCATTTTAGTGATATTTGATTCATGAAATCAATGTTATTTGAGTTGTGGTTTTCTCTTCAGTCGGTAAACTATCATTACACACATCCTACTTGAGCTGACTTTAGATTCTCATCAAAAAGGGAAAATCCGAGATCTGTCTCTTCATTGATGAGAATTTGGTTTCCTTGACCTACCATGATTTAAAAGCATCTATAAAATCTAAATCTGATTTTTCGGAGGGCGAGAATGTGGCTTAACCTTTTTTTGAGTCCTACCAAATTGGGCGGTGCTTCAACTGAAAAGCTATTTGGACCTTTGCAGCTTTTGATATATGAATGCAAGAATTCTCCTCCATTTCGAATGCTCCTCTAGGGTAGATCGCACATCTCTCGTCAATCATTATG